CAAATCAATTTTTTTTTCTGGTTGAGCTTACAAAAATACACCCCATAACCTTGAAATCTACTAGACAACTTGAAAAAAACAAAAAAACACAGATTTTACATATGTGTTCAGTTTTATTGTATTATTGAAAGCATTAATTTTCCACCATCCCTCAGAAAATAGTCTTGCCTTTTTGTTGACTGACAATGCAGATTTATTAACCAACAGTAAAATATATTATATTAGGCTAGATCTCCTCACATGGTACCCAACAAAATGATAATCAGAGCTGGAGAGAACATACTGACCATCAGGATTTGATCTCTCATCGCCCTTCCTGGCAGCTTGAGGTCTTTTGCTGGGTCGCTCCTCCTCAACTTCTGGGCTGTCCGCATCCAGACCCTAGAGATTGACAAAACAGGATAAGTGTCGCAGACGACGTTTCATAATGACAAATATTCCCTACGTCTAAAGAGCAAGACAATAAGGACAATCAATGTCTTTTTCTTGACGTCCTATTTCTTCACCCACCTCTGCCATATGTAAGTACCTCCTGAGTTTCGCCAGTGAAAAGAAAACAAGAACAAACATTCCAGCAAACACAAAAATTTAAGCAGCTCAAATCAGGAAAGTAAACTTTTTTCAAATTGAATAGCATAACTTAGGTATTAAGCATATTTCAGCGGGTATCAAATACCTTCGGGCACAGAAAAAGGAACAAAGAAATGTGGCCTTTACTATTAAAAAAACCCCAATTGTTTCAATAAAGAAAACTATATCTGGACTTAAGAGAAAACAAACTGAACTTTATTTGATCTCCTTACATTGTTTATCCATGAATGAAAAACAGAGATATCACTGCCATCCATTACGGAGCATTACATACATGTTTGACTGATTTACAAAAGATAAAAGTTTGAGGTCTTAAGAGGAGCTCTAAACTGTTTTGAACCTCATATAGTTCCTCTCAGCCCAGTGAGGTGTCTTTAATTTTTAAAAAGCTATTCTCCCTTGAACAGGGCATTAACTTGAATCAATCAAAGTCGATGCATTACTCATGGTAAGCCCGTAAACTTCTTGACGACTGCTAGATTTACATCACTCAATACTGCACAGTGCCTAAGCAGACAGAAAGGTAAAAGTAAAGTATGCTCAAAGCATGCTTGAGTACATAGGGGATAGCTGATCTTTCTAACAAGCCTCAAAGGGAAAGAATTAACATGACATGGATATTGCATTACCTCTTCCTCTGGGCCATCAAGTATAGGTGTTTTAAACATTTGACCCTCGTAGGACAATGAGCACTTCAGCTCACTTTCTTCGAGACCCTCAGGGCAGTAGATACGAACAAAAAGAGAGCGGTCATAATCTGGTTGACCCGTCCAAGCATCTGCATCCCTCATAGGAGGTCGGATAGTCATCGGCCGGGCAAATGAATCTTCAAAACGTACTTTCTGCAAACAAACACATCCACAGAATGGGAATCGGTTATATGTTGGGAGGGGGAGATGGAATGAGAGAATGTTCGTACATGTGTGCTGCACAAGGTGCACATGACAGTATGTGAATGTGCGATGTGTGACTGTGTTTATTTTAAAGCATGGACATGTATGTCCCTCAGAATATGTACATGTGTGTGTATACATGTGTGTGTGTGGAAGAAAAAGAGTATGCGTTAAAGTTGTTGTTGTTGTTGTTAGCGATCCAGTAGCATCTGAGCGTTAACTCTTCTGCATGGTGCCATTCGGTAATAGTTGCATGTTTGTTCTAATTGTTGTCTTGAGGAGTAGAGGCAATTACATGTGTGGGGTAGCTTGGGAAGAAAACATCCCCTTAAATCAGTTAGTTTTCTACAGAAGAACAGATGATGTTCCACTGTCTCTGAGGGGTAGTCACATAGTGGGCAGGCAGCAGACTGCTTTACTCCAATTCGGTTGAGATGTTGGTTGAGGGGTACATGTTGTGTTCTTAGTTGGAAGATTATGGATTGATCTCCCCTCCTCAACTCATTGATTGGATCTTTGACCAGTGGTTTATTCATGTGGCCATACATCCTCCTTCCTGTCGTACCTGAGGCCCAATCATTCATCCACTCTTCCTTGAGGTTTGACTTGATCATTTGGCAGCAGGTGGTGTAATTCGTAGGAGTTTCAGGCTGAGGGAGGCTAGCTCCTTTCTTTGCCAGAGCATCAGCTCTTTCATTTCCCGGTATCCCAGTGTGGGCAGGAATCCATTGTTGGACTACTCTGACGTGGTGCCTACTTATCAAATTATGCAGACTCCAAATCAAGTGCAATATATCTTTGTTCACATCAGTCCCACTCTCAAGTGTCTCTAGAGTTGAAAGGCTGTCTGTAAAGATAACGATGTCTGTGGTAGCAAGTGGGTTAGTGTCAAACAAGTAGTTGATATGCGTTAAAGTAAATATCTATATATTTACATGCGCATGTGTCTGAGTGATGATATTTTGGCACTTGTGGTGCACGAGGGTGACAGTTTGAAGTCAGCACATAACCTCACGTGACAAATTACCAGTACAATTATCATAGTCAACAGAGGAAATACAATATCATATTCACACAGCTGAATAGGAATCAGCATAAAATATCCAATGACATAAGGTCAACAGTAACAGTATGTATAAATGTGACATGAATGTGGCCTCCTAAGGGTACACCAAGCTCTACATTTTGAATACAAATGTAATCAAAAACTAGCTGAAAAATAAATCTCAAATTCCCTGTCAATGCTTTAAATCCTTATATAGTCCTTTCATTCTTTTTATTCTGTCAAAAGTCTAAGTGACAAAAATGTTACAATTTCACAAAATTCATTTGAATTTTGTTTAAAAGATCAAAGCCTCACTTGATTAATACATATTCTCAGATAAAATGTTGTTCCTATTTTCATTCAACTCTAAGAAATTCACACTTCTACTTACTAGATGCAGCATCATTTCATCCCCCCTTCTCCTTGTTTTCCTCATTAATCAAAAGTGTCTGCTTACCAGTACTACAACTGTATCCTCTTATATATACCAAATCTTCATTCTTTTCTTAAAATTTTGGTGGGTGATACATCATGCTTGCAGCTTGAAACCTGTCCCTTTCAAATTCTGAAAATGCCTTTTTTTAAACAATATTTTAAACTAAACTTTCAGAGCAAAGCAGACAATGAGTTTACAACTTGAAGGAGTTAAAGTTCTTTCTAAACTCTATAGCATCTTACTTTAGGGGATGCTGATCGACTTCCAGAACCTTCAATATCTATATCATCCCCGGGTCCGATGAGAACAGTGACTGTTGGGACATCATCGCTCGCCGCCCCCTCAGAATCACCTGTGTCTCCGCTTGCTCTTGACTCTGAACCTGTCGAAGTCAAAATTTGTCACATCACCATCAGAGTTTTTTAAATCTTCATATCATCATATAAGTTAATTTCTTGATTATTATGACAGGAATAAAAATGTATAACACCTATGGTTCTAACAAATTTGCAAACACAAAACCTTTTTTGGAAAAGACAAGTCAGCACCAGTCCTCTCAGATAGCAGAGTCATTCTAGGTAAAACTAGGATCATTTCAAAACTCTCACTAACAGGAAAGATGATACTCTTAGCAATACATTTTTTAAAAAGGGATTGTATCTAAAGCATCTTTGCCATAATCCTCATTAAAGTTTGACAAGTTCACATTATGTTGAAGCAAAAAAAATTGCATTAGACCTCACTATTAGGCTTTTAATATCTGTTTGCAAAAGCAAGATGGGTATTCAAAAGGTAATTACTTTGATCTACAATTTCTTTCAGGTTATAAAACTCAGTAATTCTTAAGAGCAAAACAGCACTTAATCTCACCTTCTTCTCCTTCATCACCTCGATTCCCTTCAGTCATATCATCATCATCACCCTCTCCATCCTCATTATCCTCTTCATCATCATCTCCTCTGCTTCCTTCAGCACCGTTCAGAGCTTCTGACTCGGGGTTTTCACTGGTGCCATCAACATCTCCCGCCTCCAGTGTGGGACCGGCCTCTGTGGCCTCATCCTCCTCCTCTTCTTCGGACTCTGACGACTCTTCCAGACCTTTTGTGTAAGCCTTCAAAGCAAAATATGAACGTTTGAGCTCTTGGGAAATACTCAGCACACAGTTGAACCTTCTCCAACTACCACCTATCCAACACAACACCTGTACAAATGACCACTAGCCCCCTTGAGTTTTTTTCTGTATCATAATGACACTGTCCAAGAGGACCACCTGTCTAATATGACCACTTTTTTCTCAACAGTGAGTGGTCATCTTGAATCTGTTTGACTGAATATACAAGTTTTTTAAAGTATTGTAAATTTGTGTACTGCTTAACATTCTCAGGTTGGAAGCAATTATGCAACTGATCTTAATCAGTTTAAAGACATATTTAATTCAGCAACCCCCCCCCCCCTTCCAAAGTTTGAGTATTTCCCCTTCTTCAAAAGCTTGAAGAATTCAGATTTGAGTCAAAGAAATATGATGCTGTTGTATTACCAGTTTGTGTTCAGTTGAGTTTGTCCTTGAGCAAGTCATGACAACTCAAGCTGCTCAAAAACAGTGGTGATCAGCAAAAGTGTGTCAGGAAGACTATTTGTATTGGTGTGATACTGTGATTAATGCAGAGTTGATGAATTATTTTTATATGTATGTATTGTATTGGTGATTGCAAAAAAAAAAAACTTTCTGACGTGTCCAATAAAAGTGGTATTCTGTTTTATTCTATTACTGAATTTTTAGGTTTACCTGAACATGTTCAAGACCCAGTTTTGCTTTCTGCTTGATAGTTTCAATGAGAAACTTCCATCGCCGGCCATGACCTTTGGCACTGGTCATTTTGGAAAACAACTTTTCCCAGTTCATGATCCTTTTCTCCCTGGCAACTCTCTTTGACTGTGTGTTAAAAACAGGCACAACAATGAAAGAGAGAAATCGATGACAAACACATCTCATCAATAGAAGACTATTATGGTAAAATCTTTATGGTATGTTGTATAACAATCTTAACTCTTTCAGGATGTAACCTATGAAATGCAACATAAAATATGACAGCCTCTAGGACTGATTTATTGGGACTATGTTCTGAAAGGGTTAAAGCTACTTAAAATTATTGTAAGACAGTTCTGTGTGATTAAAGCAAAACAGGAGATGACTTCTCAATACAACTAAATGTGACATGACAGAGATTCATTTCTTAATAAATGTTACTTGAAGCACTGCTGTTCTCTTGTTAAATCATTGGCAAGATGTGTCAGTACGCAAAGGCTTGATCAGTTTTCTTTTTTAGGGTCGGGGGGGGGGGGGGGGGGGGGGGGGGATTGTGGCTGTTTGTTTCCCTTTCTCTGTCCTATCAAAATGACACCATCTGATAAGTATAATCTTATGCACATAATATGTTTGCTATAATCAACACAATGTTATGATAAAGTTAGTTTTGTAGATATCAAACTTTACAACATTACTTTTATAGAACAGTTACAATTCCCTTTTCTCAAGGAGACAGTTGAAAACTTGATCAGTTGTTAAGTCATGATCAAATAAGGGTCAAGTTCGCCTTATACTCTAAGTCAACATCTAATACGAGTTCACCACTCACATGAGAATCCACTAGTTGCAAACGCTTGATGGCGATATTTAGCTGCCTTTGTTTGCTCTCATAGTCTTCATGGAGCTTTTTCAAAGCTGTGCTTTTTTCTTCCCATGGTGTGGAGTACACTCGGACAAGGCGCACAAGCTCACCAACTGGCATTCCCAAATCACTGATGCTGTAAAAAATATATCAGATTCGTCAAGGATCATGTACACCTATGTGTCTGAGTATCAATGAAAATATAATAATGAAATTTATTCCAATCATTTTTGTATTCACTTAAAAAGAACATTCTGTGTTATTTAAGGGGATAAAATATTAACTTTAAGATGCAACTAACTTTCCAAAAACAGACAGATTTTTTATTTACCCAACCTATTGATGGAGTAAGACACAACCCAGACATGTACACAATGTGCCTTCAGGGAAAAATAAAACTCCTCCCTTTGACAGATTTCATTCACATCTCAAACAGAAGTTTAAATGGGGCGGGAACGATCCTTTAAAAAAATTATACATTCTTCATCTGACAGTACAAAATATTAAAACAATAAAAAGATTTTCCTGAGACACCTCAAGTTAGACAAGACTTAAGTTAAGAACATCAAAAGAAACACAAAAAAGGATCAAATTTTTATGTAAATGACTTTACCTTCTAAACACTCTCCCACTAACCATAGCCAACTGAATGAGCAAAGGTGGAGGCAGCGAATGCTGTAACATTTCATCTTTCAGGTCCAGGAGCTGGAAAAGGTGAATAAAAACCAAACACTGTAAAAAGAAGTCTTTTTTTTTTCCATTTTACTTTTGTTAGTTGGATAATTTTTAAAAAGCAAGTGCACAAACAGAAGAACATTTCAACCCTAGCATTGGATAAAGGCAATGCATGTATTTTAAAGAGTGAAACAAAAAAACAAACCTATCAGCAGAGAAAACAACCATGACCTATTCTTTAGCATGAATTCCTTTAGTTGGCAACTCATATGTGAATACTGTGAGAGGGCTGGTAGACATAAATTGTTTATTGCCCTGGTGAGCAGACCACAAAATTGGTCACTGCTGTACAACATTTTTTTCTCAGTATTTTCTTTCTCTTTTGACCAACTTTAATTTTTTTCGACTTATCTATCAACCATGAGGACCCATTCTATCAAAATGTAGACCTAAATAAACCCATGGGCCCACAGGATTTGGGCCAATCTTCAAAATATCCGATTAGTATCAAGTATGGTACATGACTCAGCGAAGCAAATACAAATAATCAAAGAAAACTTTTCGTTTGAAGACTGATTAAACTAAACCATGTGAATTTTCCTTTATAAACAAAACTGCATGAACTCCCTCAATAATGCATAGACTAAGACAGTCTAGGAAAACTTACATCTTGAAGAGCTTCATGAACCAAAGCCATGGCATTAAGAACTCCATCACAGAGACCATCAAACTTGTTTGGCTCTCCCCGTCTCACACCTTCATCTGCATCATCATCACCTTCTGATTCGGTCTCTACATCTGACTGTATTGAAACAGTGATAAAAGAGGAAGAAGAAATACTGTCACAGTTACTCACAGTGAGAGAGTAGTTGGTGAATACAGAACATTAAAAGCATTCATCAACTGCCACAGAAAATAGCCCGCCATTAATTAGGGATTACTATAACTTTAGGGTCAGATAAATTTGATGCTATTTCCTCAAGACCTCAGCAAAAACTGAATCTTAAAGCTTACCTCAAACTACTGTCAACAAAATATGCCTACTTTACTTGTGCACAAGAGTCAGAATTGTAAAATGAATAAGTTTTATTTTTAAGGTACATGTTGCACAGATCAAATTGAAAATTGCACCACCCACTTCCTTGCTCATATAGAAAAGGTCTATGGATAAATATGAAATGTTCAAACAACTTGGGAAACATATTCAAAGCAAAACAAAATAAATACAATGATCTCTGCATAAATAAGAACAGTTTACTAACAGCTTGCTTTCACTTTGTAACACAATTGTTTTCTATGATTTGCTTGCCAAAGATTCTCTTCAAAAATATAAATCCACTTTGACACGACACTCGTAAAAATTCACTTTAAGAAAGACTCAGGCTCTCACTAGCACCACTCAGACAGGCACGCAAGCATAATGATTTACAAAATTAAAAAAAAAAAATTACTTCTATCTTTCCCTGGGTCTCAGTTGCGCCAACAGGTTATGATCATAACAGAATAAATGTGGGAAGGTAAAATTAGGGAGGAACTGAGTTAAGATTTTCCACATCCGCATATAAGACCCTGGGGGCGTGTCTCCCTCTGAACGTTTTATTATGCAGAGACCATGGTATAACCCACTTCTATAAAAGTTATACAGTAGATCTATATACCTCATCTTCTGATCTTCCGATGACACTTTCTTCATCTTCCTCTTCTGCGAGAATTCCCAAATTATTTATTGCAGCTGTGAACACAGAATTGACGATTGATGGTTAATGAGCAAAAACTTTTCAAAGTCAAAATTGCAAGACAAACAAGCGCAGGGAGGAATTTCTGTACAGATTCATCCATCAGAAAATGTAGGCCTATAACGACTACATGACAATTACATATGAATTCTGTTAATCTCAGAAATTTTCCCTTGAGTTACAAAGTTAAACTACATAAAAAAATGACTCTCAAAACACCATTAAATGTAAATACGCATGCAAAGGAAAAACATTTCATAACATGATATTTTTCTGTTGTGAATGATCATGTTTCTGTGGACGGGCATTTAATGAAGAAGTTAAAAGCAGTACTATGACCTTTATCTCGGAAGAAATTCTGCTATATGATCCAACATATTTTGGAGATAACTGAAATAAGTATCAAAATATTTAAAAAGAAATCAATTATAGAGTCTAAGTCCACTATATATTCAAACATGAAAACTTTAATAATCTTGTTTTTGTTTTTTTGTTTTTGAAAAGTGTTTTACGGCGCTCGCAACTGCATAGGTCATATGACCGCGCGGGACACTCCTAATATTTTCAGTTGGTAGGAAATTTTGAATTTTGCCCGGGTGGCGGCCGAAGCCTACTCTTATCGATTTTAGACCACCAAGGGATCTTTAACATGCGCAACTTGCACACGGGCCCTCCGAGATTTTTCGCCCTTGTCTGAGAAGGCTAGGTGTAGATCTTTCCTACCAGAAGATCAGGGGTGTGGCAGAAAGACAGCAGTAAGGAGGAGCCAAGGAGTAGCAGTAGAAAGGCTGCAGAAATAGTCAGGAGCCCAGAGGAGGGGGCAAAAGAGGTGAGGGGGTGGGGGCAGAAAGTGGAAATGAAAGCAGACAACAGAACATTGCTAGAGAGCAGGAAAGGAGGTGAAAGGAGACAATTTTAGAGAAGAACATTTTTCGGTCGCTACCCGGATTCGAACCCGGGACCTTTGAATGAGAGGCCAACACCTTAACCTCTGGGCCACGAGAGCCCCCTTTTAATAATCTATAGCCAACATCCCCTGGATTAAATTAAATCTCCTGTCTTCATCTTGACCCAATCAAAATATGTACAGTCAATCTAAACGACTAAACAGCACAGGCCTAATTAAGGACATGCGATTAAACATTAAACGTAGAAGGACGCAAACTATTTTTAGGTAAGACGGCCATTTCATGTGACGTCAAACCGGACCACCCCTCCGATCATGTGACTATATGTAAATATAGCCAACGGGATGGCACGACGCTTTGGTGCGATGTTTTTCCAGGGATACGGGTAATGTGATATGATGCGGTGCTCCGATGATGAATTTTCCCTTTATATGGTATAGATCTAGAGGAAACGTTCAAAGAATGATTTCAATAGAAGCAGTGAACCGGAAAATTAGGAAGCTCAACCCTATCAAAGTCTCAATAAAGGAAATTGTTGACATTCGTACGATGTCAATACTGGAATTCCTAAATGTTATTAACATCCCGGAAACACGTGATTCTATGCCATGTGGTACCTCCATGGCCTTCTTAAAATAGTCTGTGGGTGTCCCAGATGACATCAAATTACTAAAATTAGCAGCCAATCAGAAAGATGCGTCTTCTACGTTTAACGGCATGTTAATTAAGGCCACCTGGAAGAACAAAAGACTTTAAAAACCCAACAAAAACACAGACAGAAAGTGCCGGATCAAAAGTTTAACGGCGCTGCTAGAATGAAAGCAAGCCACCTTGTAATATACTTTCAGTTTGTATGTGTTCATTAATTACTATTGAATGTATTATTGTTATTCAAAGTAAGACCATTGAGATTGAGATGCAACAATAAAAAACATTGATTTGTTGATGAAGAAGTTGAAGGGTCATATCAGCCTTAAAAGCGTAACAGTTCTCAAAAACATTTCAGCAAAGTATTCAATTAGACCACAATACATGAAACTTCTCCTGTTATGTCAATAAGGGAAAATAAAACACCTCTATCCATGGTGCCGTCCAGTCTTGTGACTTCTTTCACTCGCTATCAACAGAGCGATTCATTCAATGCGATCCGCCATACTGCCGCTAACTTGTTGTCAAGTTGCTAGTCACGTGATAAGAAATAAGCTATGCCCAAATTGACTTTCGTAAATTTGCACATCGCAAGTTACCGTTTTTAAAAATAATTTTGCAAACATACTCCATTATCTATTACCATTTTGATTAATGTGATTAATAAAGAAAATGTAAACATTAAGAAATAGTGCAAGTAATCGATAGTCTCGAAGGAAAATCAATTCAACCCATTCCAATTGTTCACCTAATTATTAATTAATATCAACATATTATTGTGATTGTGATCGAGCCTGAAAACTGCCGCGTCTCGTTCTAACTGATATATCAATCGTTGCTCATTCCTGTTCACCAGAAAGTCCTGATTCAGTTCAGACTTGACGACACCCCCATCCCCCCCCCTCCCCCCCT